TGTAAGTTACTTCTTTTTTTTTCCCTCTAAAATAAACATAATCTTTCTCTATCTTCCATTTCTATGCATTAAGTAGATATTTCAATTTCTATAAATTTTTTATGAATAAACTACGCTAGGAAAATTTAGTTGTTACATTTTAAGATTTTTAAAGTAGGGTGGGGTTATTCTTGCCCCTTAAATCTTTTTTTTTCACTCTATTTAATTCTCTTACTTCAAACTACTAAGTTCACTCTGTCTATACATACCTCAATAGTTACTAAGTTTATCCTATTTAAACTTATTCAATTAGATGATTAAATATATATCAAAAAACCGAAAGAAAAATAGTAATTGTAGCGAAATTTTAATGTTTCGAGGTCATCTATATTATTTCGAAGTGTTTTGAGATAAAATATTTTGAGGTGTTTTAAAATATTTTGACATATTTTAACTAATATTTAAAAAAAATTATTAAATTTCTATTAATTTTTATTTTACTTCTAAAATATTTTTATATTGAAATAATACACCAAAATAAAATTTTAATCATTGTCTGTATAGTTCGTTAAAATAAAATTGAATAAATTTAATTTTTAATTAGTAAATATAAAAAGGGTGAGTTTAATAACTAATATGGTGAGTATAAATGGAATGAAGCTAATAGTTTAAAATAAAATGATTAAATGAGGTGAAAAAAAGAGAATTAAGAGGTGCTAGTATAAGGAAGCAAAGTGTTCCCGGTAAACCACATGAAGGTATTGCATAGTTTGAACAGGGTAAAATTGTAACTTTAATGGCACAGGTATTGTCGCAGCAGGGCATATACAGCATATTTCTTCCTAGGGGGAAAGCTTCGGGCTACTCCAGCAATTCAGATGCACAGTTCACAACATGTATGAGTGTCCATTTAATTCAAAATCGTAGGATTCACGGGTTCAACATGAGTTGTGTGTACGGCAAAGAAAATGGTTCGCATGCGCAAGATATTCATATTCAAGTTCATAATGGGTCTAAGATTATTTTCAACGAAATTCAAATGTTTTTGGGAGTTCCAGAACCAGACGAATATATCATGTGGTTAAGTCATTGGAAGCTTAGTGAGTTGAATCAGTGGAATCTGTTCAATGAGTTCGAACTTGGTGATGAATTGAATTTTCAGATTAAAATGCTTGGTTTAGTGGTAAAAGAGTTCAAAATCAATCAATCTTGTATACACGATGATCATGAAGAGAAGAATGATGATGAGCATGAAGAAAAGAATAAACAATCAAACAGTGAAGATATACTTGGATCCACATCAACATTTAGGGACACCATATTTGTTGAACCAATGAATGGTTTGGAGGTAACTGAGGTCGAAATCAGTCTGGTGTGCAATGAGCAGGAAAGGAAGGATGTCCAATCAAACCGTGAAGATATGAATGGACTTCCCCAAAAAAGAAGAAAATATGCTTAGGCTTCATCGGAATATCGAGGCACCATATTTCGTTATTGTTTTCTTCAATTATCCAAGCGACTTTGGATCGCCACGAACATTAGTCTTTGTAGTTTGTAGCATTTAGCACTAAAGGGTTGGAAAATTGTTTCCGGCCTCACCACTGCCAGTCTCTTCAAACAATGTCGTCTCTGGTTGCTCTATTTTGTTTTCACTATCATTCTTGAGCCCCAAATAAATTCAAATTTTGAAATTGAATCTAATGAAGAACCAAAAAATCACTGAAATTAACATCTCAATCCACCAAATAAATCAAAACAATAAAGATATCCAATTCATCTAGAGCGGAAAACCCTTAAATAATCACCACAGGATAAACATGGTAAAAGAGGGAGGCGAAAATTACGAAAATAATGGGGTAGAGCCTCTATTTGGTGGTGGGTTATGGATCTGTTCGTAGTGTGGATAAACATGTGAAGGACCACAATTCGGCCTATTTAAGGGCCACCTCACCCAGTCTCTTGAGACCCTCACTTGTAGGGGTGTTCAAATTTTCGATTATTTGTAAATTTTAATCTTATCATATTCTATCAACTCTATTGATCAGCTACCCAAACGAATCAGATAGGCAAACGAAAGACTCTTTGGTATTTCGCAAAAAATCAAATAAGAATACAAAATATCTACAAAATTTTCATATTCCTACCTTACCCTATATATATATATATATATATATTTACACACACACACTAAACTATGATACTATATGTATATGCAGCCATGTGTGTATTGGATTTATAAAATTTAGAGAAAAAGTGTTTGTTTGGTGTGTAAAATTTGGGGAAAACATTATACCTCTCATAAGTTCAAAAACTTAACTATCTTATTTTATATATATACTAGTAATTACCTGTACCTAAAAGCATCATGTAACAAATAAGAAATTGCAAATAAATGTCCATTCTTGCCAACCTAATCTTTGTTGTTTGAATTTTAGATGACCCAACTGTTAACTATTCCTCAAAGCAATGATACCGAATTTTCTTACTTAGTGCATAATTAAATCAAAAAACATATAATAAACCAACTACAATAATCATAAACTTTTCAAAGCCACAAAAAATTCAATCATACATTCTCAATTATGATATTTACCTAATATTTTATACACGAATCTTATGCAAGATAACTTGATTGTAGACTAAAAACACCACGTGAAATTAGAGTAAAAATAAATAACAACTTTACATAATTTGAATCCAATAAAAACAACTATTGGATCGTAGTCCCTCTTTCACGAAATGTGCTTCCATTGGCTTTGAAGAGAAAATCAAGCCCACGTTTGTATAGATCCAATCAACGGAGCCTTTGCCGCCTAAACTACAATGAAGAAATCAAAACTATAATATCAAATGGATGTAAAAATCATTCATAGTATCTTTTAATACAAAGATCATCCCTGTATAGTTCTAGCATTATACCATGACAGACTGAAGTAATACATTTCGGTACTACTTCTGTAGAAAACCTCACCGAATGGAAGTAACAACTCTACAATAACAAAATAATTCCAAACTATGAATGCATAAAACCCCAATGTCACCACCAATTCATAATATATTCTAAGGTTTAAAAAAATATAACTTCATATCACACTCAAAAGTGAAGCAATATATCACTATAACAACAATTCATTATCCAAAAAGTATAGCTGAATCCACTAAAAGCTGCCATTATTTCTTAACTTCATGCAAGATTCATGTACTTAAATCTGGGAAATAAAGAAAAAAGACAATCATAATTGTTTACCACAACAGAGCATCAAAAGAAAGTAATCAAACTATACTACCTCCCTCTCATTCTTCCTGTAGAACTTGAGAAGTGAATTCATGCACCTAACGTACTACTCAAGCATTGTAACCATGGACTGCCCTCTATGGCTATCCTCTTTGCTGCCTCGGTTGTTTCATCCAACTCTTGTCTCCCCTCATTCAACAACCTTCTCAAAATTGCCCAACATATCAACACATCATAAATTTTCCATAGATCAGTAATATCCAACAACTCTTACCTCATTTTTTTACTATTGAGAAATAGTGAACTACTTGTAATTAAAAATCATAGAAAATAGATAATCTACATTAACAAACAAAACTATGGGTTTACTTAATTGAATCCATAAAGTGAAAAACAAAATTTTAATTGTTAAATCCTTAAAAATAATTCTTTAGATCACAACATAAAATCCACAAAAATAAACACATTCATTCATCATCCACATATATATCTAGAGGGATATAAGGAGAAACCCATAATAGTGTAAGCAAAGTTGCAATTCCTAAAAGTGGTAGCACAATGAATTCAATCCATAAAGAAGGCTAGCTAGAAACGATTGCAATATAAATTATATGCCCATTCAATGCATAGAACATAATCTAATCCATATAAAAACCAATCCAATTTCATGACTCCAAACCAAGCTAATTCACTTTGTCCCAGCTGAATATTAATTGCCTATATGCACCATTTTGAATCAAATAACCAAAACAATCAACTATTGAATTTAAACCCAAACAATTCATATTACCAATTTAAACCCAAGCACATTTATGGACAACCTTTAACGAAATATATAAGCCCATTGTGAGACTTACCTTGAAGCCCTTGTTGAAAGATAGCAAATGAGAATGAACTTAGTTCCTCTAAATCCATCATCATTTAAAGTAACTGGCTCCCTAAACAATAAAAATTCTTATGAAACATAATCGCAATTAAAAAAATGCAATCAATAATGAAGCAAATGCATTATTGATGATGCAAGTCACAATAAGGAACATGAATTCAGACATGGATGTCAATAAAATGGTGCACTGTCAGATTCAATTAGGAAAAAATAAAAATATGATATTCACACCATATATATCAAAAAGTATACCCAACATTTCCATCACCAAAAAGTTTGTTTGTCAAATACCATGGATGTCGATTACACGAATTCAAATCATAACAACAAAACTAATTCAATAACAGTAAATAAGCGAAATAGTAAATGGTGGGGGGTTGTGGTGGTCTAAGCGTGGAACTGGCTTGCTGTTAACCTTGGTATAATTTTGATTGGTAGGTTACTCAAGTACCTTACAATCCTTTTGTCAAACACATTATATTTACTTTATCAAATTAACAATGGGTGGTTCAAGTACCATATAATCCTTTTGTCAAATGCATTATACACACTTTATTAAACTAACAATAATTTTAATTCAATAATCAGGGTGGTGGTGGCTGGAGGTGGAGGTGCAAGGGATGGACATGTTTGGAGAGAAGAGAGATAGAGAGAGGATGCAGGGTGTTGTGTTTGATTCTGTCTGCGTGTGTGTGAAGCAGCGTGTGTCAATTTTTGTGTGTGTGTGTGAAAGGTTGCAGGGGTTAGAACAGAGGGTAAGAGAGATAGGTAAGGTGGTGATGGTGGCTAGGAACAGAGAGGGAGGATTGGCAAAAAGAACTATCAATCCTATAAGATTCCAGTTTAGAAAATTTTGTAACTCATTTGTAACAAACAAATACCAAAATTTCAAATCAAAAAATGGAAAGGTGTAATAGGAAGAATTCTTACCAAAGCGCTTCATCACTGATTCCATGAGTGAAGCATTACCAAAGCGCTTCTCAACCTTCAAAACACACACATATCCTCCTCTTAATCAAGTAGTATTGTTAACCCTTAAAGCTTAACACCAAAGAAATTAAACTATGAAAATCAAGAATCAAAAGTGTGCATATTGTTCATTCAATCCAAATAACCATGTTTCCATGAGAAATTTCATCAAACTAACCATGTGCATAACCAAAGATGTAGCATTTGTTCAATACATAATCGAAAGGAATTCCATGCTAGAAAACACCATTCCAAATTGCACAAACAATGAATGAATGACCACACAACACCATAAATTGCCAACTAACAAAAGTGGGTAGTTACACAATTTTATAAGCAAAAAATTTGCTCAGAGTTCAAGAATTCACTAACCATGGCAAAGCTTGAAAGTGCAAGGTTCATCTCAAAAATTCCAGGTTATGAATTATTTTGGTCAAACAAATTCCTTCTCACTAAAATTGTTTCTTCATTCAATTTTTATTGAAAGAAGATTGCTGGATGTAAAGTGCTTTGTTTTACCTTGGTAAAGGATTATCCATTTTTATCTTTTATCTTCTGCTATCTTTGGCAAGCCAGAGGTCATTTACATTGTTCCAAAAATTAGTTCCTATACCTTAAAATACTAGGGAGTTCTAATCCAATCTTATACTTTGTGGGTCTAACCATGCATGTTTCAGTCAACGGTGCAAGAATACAGAATGTCCAGAGGGATTGAAGATAGACCAGCCCCTGCCTAATGTCACCTTGATATAATTTTGGAACATGTGTGATTAAAGATGATGTGAAAAGTGCATGAGATCAGATTAGAAGTCATTAATTAACTTTCATGCAAAATGCATATCCCTTTCACCATCTGGAAGTGATGAAAGTTTGCTCGACTCTGACAATGAAATGGAGATGACACTTTGAGACAACAACTGGAAGACGTGAACTCGCTGACAGAGGAACTGATTGATAGGACTATGACCAAATTTTTAGAACAGGTGAAAGATGGCAGTTGGACAACAGGTGGATGGTCTCAAGTAAACACGGACTACTCAGTGTCAAAACTTGTTGTGAATGCATACACAAGGTTTATGGCAAAGACACTTTCAGATTGCCCAGAGGGTCAGAAGATATACATCAATTGCTACTGCCCGGGTTGGGTGAAGACTGCATTGACTGGTTGGTCTGGGCATAATTTACCGGAGGAAGGGGCTGACACTGCAGTGTGGCTTGCCCTGCTACCAGATCAGTTTGTGAGTGGCAAATTTTTTGCTGAGAGACGCGAGATAAGTTTCTAAAGCAGTCAAATTGAAGACTAACGCAGGGCTTGAGTTCCAGGTTCATCTTCCATTTGACTGAGATCAGATTCGACAACAGGTAATAGAAAGAATACTACTGCAAAGAAAGCTGGTTGTAATCTAGCTTCTGCGATAAGAAGAGTGCCTAGTTTTAACAGTGAGCAAGAATAATTCATACTGTCATCTATCCATGGGGAGTAAGACTGATTGCAAGAGTGAAAGAAAATGTCTGATCTCATGATAATCCTGGTTCCTAAAATCTGAGTTGTCAAACTTTGTGCCATCCATCTCTGTTGCCTTGAGATGAGGATTTAGTGAGCGTCACCCATGAATTGAAGAGCTGCATTTTGGTATATTTATCCAACCATTTACCATTCCATACCAATAGAATAACATTATCAAATTAGAATAAGTTTCAACAACATACCACACATATTTGGTGCTCTGGAAAACATATGCACTCTCCACAAATAGGAACCTTGTGCACGAAACAGTATAACTTAGTTGCGTGAAACCCAGAAACCCCACATGTTATTCTCCAAATTCAAATAACATGTGTGAGATAACACAGAGGAAAACACTTAATAAAAGCCCTTACTGATTACATGAACTAAAGTGCAATGGAATTAGCTGTACTCAGACAAAGTGTAAGAATCAATTAAAATTCTCGGTAAATCAAACAAAGTGTAAATCAATTAAAATTTAGTGAAAGAATCAATTAAAATCCAAGAGAAACATAATTTCAACACATTATACCCCAAAAAATAGGGACACAGAAAATTCATAATAATAATAATAAAAAATAATGGTAGATTACACAAAATTTCTCTCATTAATTCCAACAAACACTTGGTGTCCAACAAACTCTCGTTGTTTGTTTATGCTCTGTGTGTGTGTAAGCGATGTGTGTGATGTGGGTGCGTGGGTGCTGGGTCTGTGTTGGGTGTGTGTGTGCTGGGTTTGTTTGTGTGTTTTGCGCTGTGGGTGTGTTTGTGATTGTGAAGTGAGAGAGAGAAGTGAGCGAGCAGAGAAGAGGTGGGGGTAGGAGAGAGATGAGGCATACCTGGGAGTGGTTAGCAGCGGCGGTGGTGTTGCTGGTGGTGTCGCTGGAGCGTAAGACAGAGAGAGCGATAAAGAGAGAGAGGCTAAGTGCCGATAGCTGCGGCGGTGGTGGTGGTGGAGTTGCTGGTGGTGTCGCTGGAGCGTAACAGAGAGAGAGAGGGGTAAGGAGTAACAGAAGGTGGGAACAAGAAAAGAAGAAACAGAAGTAGGCTTGTCTAACAGAAGGGAGGAGAAGAATAACAGAGATGTCCCAAGCGGCAGAAAGATGGCTGTCTCACAGGTGAAGTAACTGAGTTGGTCAGATTTTTGAAAAAAATTGTTGGTGAAAAATGATGAATTTGGGAGAAAATGAGAGGTTATTATAACTGTTTATGTGTTATCAAATTTATGGAGTATTATGTAGTTAATTGGTACAAGTTATTTAATTAAATTATTAAATAATTTAAAAATTAATAATTAAAAAAAATGTATTCACCCAATTGTTTTTGATAGTGTAAACCGAATTGTATGAATAATAAATCGTAATTATGCTTTGCAGTAATGATGTTGTGGTAATTATGCTTTGCAGTAATGATGTTGTGATAATGAAAGAAATGTTTTTCTAGGGACTGAAAGGATTAACATAGAAGAAGTATAGTGGTTCACCAGTTCGGGAGCTCGGCTAATCTACTCTTTAATAGAGACTCTTGCTCCTTGTCTTTTAATAATGATGATTGCAAGAATACAATGACTAGTTTTTACCTATAGAGTCCTCTCCTTTTCCTTGGAGGCGTTACATAGTATTTATAGCGTTATTCCTTATTCAGTGAATCTTGGCCGAGATTCGTGCCCTTATTTCGTAGGGTTCTCCTTAATTCTAGGAGAAGATCTTGGTTGGTTGAGATTAGGTGCCTTGATTATAACTTACTAACTCTTTAAAAACCTCTCGTAGTTATCCAGTCGTTGCATTGCCTCAAGAGACATTCAGTTCTTGCCTTCTGACCTCAGTTAATATAGCTGACCTCCTAGTCTGAACTGAACTCCTGAGCTAGGGATTTACTTTAGGCATCATGAGTTTATATGAAATTTAAGTAGGAATAGTACACTTGATTGAGTAAGGTAGGCCCAAAAAAATTCTTTCTCAAAGTATCGAGTAGAAAATAGAATACCATAATCCATACCCGTAAGATATGGTAAACACCCCCACTCACTTGGGTCACACACTGGCCGTGACTGTGATCACCGCCGTGGCTCAGCCCAAAACTTATTCTTGGTTCTTAAATTTAAGGGAAAATTGTAAAAGAGTTCACAAAATTAGACTTAATTGTAAAAAAATATACAACTCTTAATGTTAGGTCATTAAATTCTTATTTTTAGAACTTAATTGTGTTCAAGTACATAATTTGACTTTTTGTGATTTTTTTTGACATATTTATCTTAATATAAATAAATAAATAAATATATATATATATATATATACACACACACAGAAAAATCAAAACTCATAATAAATCGTCTTCATTTTTTTAGGGATATGTTTCAAAATTTTTAGAAACTTTTAAAATTTGACAACTAAAATTAAGGAAGTTTAATTATCTTATCTTAGAAACACTAAAATTAAGGAATTTTGATTTTATATTAGATGTAATTTAGTGACATTAATATAGTGTATCAAAACAATATAGGAGTAATAGAAACTAAGTTTAATAGTATGATTTCGAATATAAATTTTTACTTTTATTTCAGTCAATTCAATCTATTATGTCCTGGTCAGTTGGATAAAGGGTATTATATGTGCTGTGGTCATAAAATCTTAGACGATTTTTCATCTAACAAACTAAGTTTTTTGGTAAGATTCAAAACAAGATTCAATGGGTCACAACTTTATCATTCAAATGTGGGTCTCTCAATTGAGGACACCCAACATATCAAGATAATTAATCAATAACCTCTCTACCGTTCTCAGGGTAAGGAGTTAGAGATATTTACCAATTACCATGCAGTGTGTGCTCTCAGAGGATATATACTGATTCACATCATTAATACTTTTGGTTTGTGTTACTATGATGGATGAAAAAATGGAAGTATAAAAAATAAGAGGGATACATTTTCTATTCTTCAAGGGAATAATCTTTTATTCTCTCTTTTGTGTTTGATAAGAGCCATAGGAAAGTAGAAAAAATTTATTTATTTTTTTTTAAAAAATATATAAATACATATTTTACCATTATATCTATATATAAAATTGAGGTATTCTTGAAAAATCATTAACAAAGATCATGAATTATTTATTACTTCCATTAGAAAGTGTTTTTGATGGTCCCTATATCGGTGTGAACAAGTAATAATGGTGATTTGGCTTTTCAAGTTTTTTCTTTTGGAAAATGATATTCATGATGCTTTTCAAGTGAACATCCTTCACTTTTTTTTTGTTCTTGTATAAATAGCAATCCATAAAGGATATTCTTTTGTTGTAGAATCTTCAAGTTTTGAAAGTTGAAGTACTCAAATCTTCTATGTCAAAGCCAAAATTCATCGATAACTTCTACCTTCAAAGAAACATATTTTGAATACCGAATATATTAAAGCAATGAAATAAAAACTATTTCAAATTGAAAGATTATTTTAAGTTGTAAAGAGTCTTTAGACAAGCTAGTATTCTTTGAGTTTTACTTAATTCTTCGTTATGTCATGCCTGAAGGCATGGACAATTACTAAAGGATCTGTTAATTGTTGAATGATATAGTTGTTAGTGGTATTGTGTGCAGTTTATATGTATTTTGTTTATTTCGTGTTTAGTACAATAAATTAATTACACATGGTTATGAGGATATGTTTGGTTTTATATGAAATGATGGTTGTTTTGGCCGTTGGTATGAACTATTGATTTTGGGAGAGTTAAAATTGAATTGTGGTGGTACGATATATTATGATGATTGTTATGTATGATTGTAAATTTTGTAGACAAATTTAGATTTTTTTGAGTGCCTATTTTTAAAGAAAATTTTGTCAAAATTTCTGAAAAATAGTAGGAATTAACTTAATTTCAATTTCTTATATTAAAGCTAATTAAGTAAAAACTATTTTAAATTAACAGTTTGTTTTAAGTTGAAAAGTGTCTTTAGACAATATAGTATTATTCGAGTTTTAATTTAATTTTTCGTTACGACAATTACTAATTATAATATATTATGTGAAAGTTATTTTTTTATAAATTTTATAAAACAAAAAAAAAATTGACATTTCATGTTAATTTGTTGAACTACCCATATAATAAAAGTCACAAAAAATAAAATAAATAAAATAAAAAATTAAGCTAAATTTCCTACAATTGAGATTCAACTATGGCCGGTGAGTGCACATATTATATACGACGATGTTATTTTTTAGGACAGGTGAGGGCAATATTATATATATATGAGTTAGGTATGAGATGTTATTTTCTAGGGCACGTGAGGGCAATATTATACATGTTGAGTTAGGTATGAGATACTATTTTCTAGGACAGTATCTAAGGGTTAATTGTAATTTACATTCTCAAAGATTATTTGAATCTCAATTTGTACCCTCATACTCGTCATTTAATCATTTGGACCCCTTCAAATTTAGAATATTACTCCTACATCTCATGACGTTTGTGCACGTATAACACGTAATTCCTTTTCGTTGATATCTGTTAATATAACCGTTAAAAAATATGATATTATCCTAATAAAAAATTATAATTTCATGTTATCCTTTATTTTGTAGGTCTAATATACTATGGCCGGTGAGTGCACATATTATATACGACAATGTTATTTTCTAGGGCAGGTATATATATAAAATAAAACTTACAATTTAAATCTCAAAAAATAAATAAAATGACTTTTGTTATTCGCGGTTGAGATTGCTTTAAATTTAATCTAACAACTAATATTAACACCCTAAATTTAATAGGAAAAATAGGCCTATAAGGG